ATGGAGTTATGAAACGTGATGGCAGGATTGCATCCTCCTGTGATGCTTGCCATCCCTGCTGCACTCCCTTGCAGCTGTTGTCACCCTCCCTGAGGCTTCCCACACCATGGCACAGCACACCACATGCCATGCCATGGTCTTCACAACCACATGCCATGCCATGCCATGGCCTTCACAACCACAGAATATGCCATGCCATTCCATGACATGGTGTTCATAACCACAGCATGCCTTTCCACACCAAGGTCCCAACAACACTGTAAGGCAACAAGCATGCCAGGCCACACAGCATGGCACAACACACAGCATGCCATGCCACACAGCATGGCACAACACACAGCATGCCATAATATGCCATGAATCGGAATGCATTGGCCTAGAGACCATGAGAATGCACCACAGCATGCCATGCCATACACCCACCCACCCAGGACAACCCATTCAACCCACAGACCCAACCACCACCCTTTCTCTTTCACTCACCCACACTAGTAAATTCAGCCTCATTCCCTTCCCTTCAACCACACAAGAGATTTCAGCCCTAACTATCGACCACGCCCAGTCAAAGCCACCCATCCCCAACTACCCACCACCCCCTGTCAAGCTACCCATACCCAACAACCCAACACCCATATCAAAGCCACCCATCCCACCAACACATCCCCCCTGTCATAGCCACCCATCCCCAACAACCCATCATCCCCCAATCAAAGCCCCCCAGTCCCCACCCCCCCAACCCCCCCCACCTTCCTTCATCCCTCCCCACATTCACCCCGCCAGCAGTAGGAGCAGCAGACAGCCCACTTCCTTAGAAAAACAGCACACACTAACCTACCAAAGCCACCCCCCTTCCACTAACCTACCAAAGAAAGTTACACCAGCTCCCCCCTCTTCCACTCACCCACATGCCCAAGCGGTTTCAGGCCACCTTGTTTTCACTCACCCACCCAGGGGGTTTCAGCCCCCTTCTCTTCCACTCAACCGCCTTAGGATTTCAGCCCTTCAAGTCATTCCTTACCCAAATCACACTTGGGGGATTCGGACCTCCCTCCTTCACCTGTCACTTAACTTACCCTCGTACCTTACACAACCAATACACAACCCACCACCTACCCACCTGCCCACTCACCCACCTGCCTACCCACTCAGGCACCTACTCACCCGCCCATGGTCCCATCCATCCAAACCCAACCACCGACCACCCACCGACCACCCACCTTCCAACCACCCATCACACAACCAGCCACACACTCCCATACACATACCCAGCCACTCACACACCACGAACCCTCTCACTATTTCCCATCAACCATGCAGCCACCCACCCATACCCTCCACCCATACCCTCCACCATCCATCCACCAACCTGCAAACCACCTCCCCAGAACCACCCATTCAACCCACACGCCTACACCTCCCCACCCACCCACCTACCCAGAAGCACCCATCCAACCCACACACCTACGCCTTCCCACCAACCCACCTACTCAGAATCACCCATTCAATCCACACACCCTCTCACACCCACTGCCCAAACCTCAGCCACCTATCCTCACACCTACCCACCTACCCCCACCCCCACCCACACCCGCCACTTTACCTGTCCCCTCCCCACCATTCACCTGCCAGCTGCAGCACCCACCCAAGGGGATTCAGGCCCCTTCCTTCCATCTCACCCACCCAAGGGGATTCAGGCCCCTTCCTTCCATCTCACCCACCCAAAAGGATTCAGGCCCCTTCCTTCCAACTCACCCACCCAAGAGGATTCAGGCCCCTTCCTTCCAACTCACCCACCCAAGGGGATTCAGGCCCCTTCCTTCCAACTCACCCACCCAAGGGGATTCAGGCCCCTTCCTTCCTCTCCCCGCCACCCGCACACTCCCCACCTTACCTGCCAGCAGTAAGAGTAGCAGACAGCCCACTGCTTCAAGGAAACAGCACTCCCAGACGCTGTGCCTTGGGGGGCGAGGAGTGGTAGTGGAAAATTGCTTCCAGCCCAAGACTCAAATCCCACCCCTGACGTAGCTTGAGCTGACGCGAACCAGAGCCGCCGGCTGGTTGGCTCTGTCGGTGTCCATTAGGCCTTGAACGCCAGATTGGGAACCTGAGCACCGAGTGCCGAGCCGCGCAGATTCCACCCACCACACCCCACCTTACAAGGCACAACCCCAGAGGGTGCTGCCCCTAAGGCAGTGAACTCCCCACTCACTCCCATGCTTCCCACCCACCCACCCACCCACCCACCCCACACTTCACTCCCATGCCTCCTTACCTCTCCTTAACTCTACCTACCTGAGCCATGCAGAGCGCCATGATGCCTCAGGCTGCTGGGAAGGGAGGGAGGCAGGGAGCAAGGGAGAGCAGTGAGCATAGGGAGAAAAACATGCAGAAGCGTGAAAAAGGGACAGGAGCAAGAAAAAAAGGTGAGCATTAGGAGAAGGAAAGCAGCAGCGTGAGTGAAGGAAAGAGCACACACAAATGCACTTATGGCAGAAAGGGGAAAAGAGGCTCACCTTGTAAAGACTACCCATCCTGATACTCTCCCTTCCCATCCCAGCCGAGTGGAGTGGAGTGCTGACCCCCTCCCCTCCCACCAAGTGACCTGGCAGTGGGCGCAAGGAACAGGAGAGGAGGGGCAGGAGGAATAGGTAAGTTGGCACTCAAGTAAACAGAAGAACACTAGAGTGGGCAATATCAAGAATGCAACATTGAAGCGAGGGAAATTAGAATTTTGTAGCAGGGAGGGGAAAAGAGACCCACCTTGTTTCAGACAACCCTGCCCAATACTCTTCCTCCCCACCCACGCCGAGTGGAGTGCAGCCCCCCTCCCCTCCCACCACTGGCACCTGCACGGCCACAGGGGAGGAGAGCGAGGGAGCGGCGGTGTTGACCCCCACGCCCCTCCCCTCCACCTGCAAGGAGAGAACTGAAGACAAGTGAGTAAGCGGCTAGGGGTAACAACGTGAAAGGTGTGCATGGGTGGGGTGGGGTGGGGTGGGGTGGGGTGGGGTGGGGTGGCAGGTAACAGCAGGAAAGGGGGCCACTGGTGCAGCTTCAGCAACAAGCCACAGACTCAAAGGGAGGATTAACCTGAGAGCATACCTGTACCTGGGGTGGTTTACCAAAAAATAGGGGTCTGTGGCTTGAAGTTGTAGTAGCACGACCAGAGGCTCAGGTTTGAAGGGATGTTCAGGTGGTCTCTTGGGTGCGACAGAGGGCAGCACATGAAAAGCAACAGAGTGCGACGGGTTGGGAGAAGAGAGGAAGGACGGGGTACTTAGCTTTGGGTGAGTTGGGTGGAGAACAGCTGCTGCCTGTGCACTCCATGTTAGGCGCCACAGCCACTCCCGTGTGAGCGACCTGCTGGGACGAGAGGGGGCAGGTTGGGACACAGAGAGCAAGGGAGGAGGGGGGGGAGAAAACGGGGAAGTGAAGGGGGCGCAGAGGAGTGGGGAGAGCAGTGAGGAAAGAAGCCAAGACAAGTGAAAGTGAAGAGTGCAGCATACGCAAGCATGATGTGTGCATGAATGGACTGCTGCAGTGGCACACCCAAGAGACCTCGTACCAGCTGAACCAAACTAATACAAATACCTGAGGCTGTACCAAGAAAAACTATACCTACTACCTTGGGGGAGGGAGGTCTAATGGGTGTCACAAAGAGCAGTCAAAACGGGAGTGTAATGCATGGTGCAAGCATGACAAGCAAAGCAACACAGTGTCATGGTTGAACAAGGCACTTAGCTGCTGCCGCGCCACCGTGTCACGACGCGCGGACGACGGTTTCACCGTGCGACGACGTGCGAACGACGATTTCGCCGTGTGACGGACGACGGTTCCGCCGTGCGACGACGCGCGGACGACGATTTCGCCGTGCGAAGACGCGCGGACGACGGTTTCGCCGTGCGACGACGCGCGGACGAAGATTTCGCCGAGCGAAGACGCGCGGACGACGATTTTGCCGTGCGACGACGCGCGGACGACGATTTCGCCGTGCGATGACGAGCGGACGACGATTTCGCCGTGCGACGACGCGCGGATAACGATTTCGCAGTACGACGATGCGTGGACGACGATTTCGCCGTGCCACGACGATTTCGCGGACGACGATCTCGCAGTCGATTGTGCAAAAAAACGGCCGTCGATTCCGCCAACAACGGCCGTCCATTCTGCCATTAAGAGGTCGTCGATCGCTCTCCTGCAGGCGGGAGAAACGCGAAATAGCATATACGAGCGTGAGAAGCGCTAGCTGAAATCGGTGCATCAAAAGCGCGCCGGATGGAGTCACGATAAGCGCGCGGGAAGGAGCAGGCAGCGACGTTCAAGAGCACAACGGCGCGGACCCCATCGTACCTCGTCGTCGCTCTCTTCTTCGCCTCCACTCGCACCAACATTGCACGCCCGAAAACATTTCTCGCGACGCCCGATCAACAACTTTTCACGGAGGATGCGACGAAATCGACGGTCTAAAACAGCACGAGGCGACGTAGAATCTGCCTGCTGACGCTCCGCCAACACCTCTTCTCCTAGCTCCGCGTTTTCTCGTCCCAAGAAACAAATCGGTCGCCAGCGAAAGAATAACAGCAGCGTAAGCGTTCCGTGGGAACTAGCGCTGAGCATCTGGCGGTGAGCAACTAGAGGTGAGGAGCAGAATGAATGGCGAATGTTGAGTGAGGTGGGCGTGAGAAGCAGCACGTTGAAGATTCTGAACTGAACCATCGCAATCCAGTTCAGTACAGTGCACCAATCTTTGTTGTGTAAAAGGAAACAATATAACGTACAATACAAGACAAGTGTTGTACGAAACAGGAATGGTGCATGAAACTAAGACAACCATGCCTCTTACTGCAGGGACTTGAGAGGGCAATTGTGTGTTATTCCCTGTTAAAATCTTCCTGGCACAGCTTTGCACAGCTACCCTCAATGCTTTCGATATACCGTATAAGAAAAAGAAGGAAGAGAAAGTGGTTTCCAGACAGTACTTGGCCACAAAAGTCACCACTTCACGGACTATCGATGTCCGGCGCTGTAACCACTAGAGCAGGCAACAAAAGATCCAAACACATCACTGAACACGCGGTATGCACCATCTCAAACCTACATGATGCTGCAACCGCATGTCTTCGATCCAGCCGAGTTTCTCTCAGGCCTCTGTAGTGCACGAGAACCTTTGCCCTTTCTCCCTTTCTTGGATCCCTCACTTGTAGAGCCGACAATACCCCGATGGAGTGGGCCACTGCTTGTCTCCCCAGTGTTTGTCAGCTTCGGCAATCCATCTTGCTCGTTTTCGATAGCAGTAATGGAACTTCCAGCAACATTTTCGGCCAAAATCTCGTTACTGAGTGCTGAGCCTGCCCCAGCCAGTAACTCTGCATGTGGTCCAACAGGATCATCTTCTGAACGACGACATCTCACAGCTTCACCGGAGAGAAGAATCGAAATTGGTTGGTTGCACATCTGAGCAGGCAGATCGTTTGCCGCTCCCTCCCCTGGTAGGAGTGGAACACAAGGTTAGCACAAGCGAATGATTCATAACCAAAGAAGAAGTTAAGCGACAGCGTCGTTACGTGACATGATTCTGACTCCTTGCATATGACATGCTCAATATGACGCAGCATTCTAAAATGCTCCTCTTACCGTCCACCGGCAACTTTGCAGTAGCTGATTTGTGGCATGGCAAGTCCAGGGGCACTGCTGATGCCACCATTGCTGGCATCGATGGTGGTTCAAGGGCCTCCTCACGGATTTCTTCCAAGTTTGTACCATCCAACTTCAACGGCACCTGATTCACAGTTTGAGGCCCAGATACACACAAACCTGCACCATGGAGAACATACAGTAAGCAGATTTTTCCACAGCAAAAAGCCATTGCGCAGCTTACCTGGAGATGCTGACTCAGCATTTGGGGATATGGGAACGCCAATGAGTTTATCTTGATCGGCATCCGATTTCCCACCGAGGTGCGCAGTTTGCTGCTCCAGATGCTGGCCCTCCACAAGTTCCTTGATATCTGAACGAGATCCTGATCCTAGCCACTCATCAAGTGACATGCGGCAAGTAGGCTGCAGGGAACCTCCACGTGCATTGCTTCTTGAGATCACAGTGGTTTTCAACCGTTTAGTATAAACGTCTCCACCGGTGCTCTCGTTTGGCTCATCCAGATGATGCCCCTCCAAACCCAAACAGTCACTCCGTTTGGTGCCACGCACTGCCATGATTAAAGTAAGCCGGCTGTCAAACCTGATGAAATGGAGCAAACTTGATGGACTCACCTTGGAGAATGTTATCAGTCTCCTCAGAAGTCTTGGACAGATTCGAATTTCCTGCACCGCTTTGAATTGAAGGACCAATATGTACAACGAACCTCAAATGCAATTCAGAGACACAAACCTCGTATGACGCTTTCATTGGTGCCAATCAAATGGTCAGCCATGACTTCTGACTTTGGCTGCACAGAGAAATCAGAGAGTAAGTAAACGCTTCCCGCTGAAATGAAAAGGAACAGGAGCTCACCTTATGGAGACGTTCACTTTTACTGGTGGGCAAGCCACTTGTAGAACTCTGTTGACAAAAGGGCTGGTCAATCTATCAATGTAAGCAGCAAAAACATTGTAGTGATTCACACCTTATCCGGACCATCAGCTTCGTTGGTCAATGAGTTTTCTGTACAGGCATCATAACCCAGAACCAGCCCACTTGGTTCCACATCCTTGCTGGTTGTGGACTGAACCCACGGAGAAACACTTGTGCCTGGGCATTCTGGTTCTGAAACAGTTGACATCATTGACATGGCGAGCTGCACTGGCTCTCCAGCTGCATCAACATCTGCGTTGGTCAACCAAGATCAGCCACATCATTCAGGAAAAGATGGCATGGTGCGAACGTGACACATACCTGGCTTACAAAGCTGTTGATCACCAAGGGGAATATTCAGCTGTGTAGAAAAGATAAACAAAGTGAGATTTTGTTGAAGTTACTGGACTGAGGAGAAAATATGGTCTTACCACATCGTTATTGTGATCCCCCGGCGTCTGCTTCGCTGTGGAATTCTGCAGAAGAGACTTAATGAGCTGCCCAGATTCTGCAAGACAGGAGAGTAATGTCACATCGTCATCCTTACAAGTGAACGTTTTGACTGAAGGATGGTTCACCAGGAAAAGCTATATCGCTTTCAGTAGACTCCTCAAATGGCTTCACAATGTCTGCCGTTTTTGACAGTGGAAATAGCTCTGGATCTGAGCCCGCCGTCACATGTGCAGGAGAATGTAGTTGCCCGTTCTCTGTGTGGGGAGTTTAAGATAAGCAAGCAATATTATGAATTGCATTGTTACGAACGCATTCTCGTGGTTGCTAATACACCATGAACCATACCTTTTATGCCGTCTTCTTCTGAACCAAACGTTTGGCATGCCGTAACCGTAAATGCTGGCTGCTGAAAGACAAATGTTCTGTGTCAAATACTCAAGTGAACCAGCAGCAGCAGAAACAAAAGTTCAGTAACAATATTTTGCTCACCTCATGAACATCATTATTTTCACAGGTTCGCAAAGGATCAGCGTAAGTCTGCAAAAGGAGGGAATGGAGTGTCAGAAATTTCATACAGTTTATCAGTCTCAAACCTGAAATCGACTGTACAAGCGTGAAGCTTGCCTCATATGAACCTTCAGCTTGACTTGCTAGCAAGCCATCAGCAGGGCTTTTGTCATCGATGCAGGGGGGTTTGGGTGCATCGACATCATTGAGTACCACGTCACTTAGACAGGCACCTTCATTTTGATTTGAGAACTCTGCTTCGTGGACTGCTGCAAGCCACAAAGGAGAACCACAAGCCATCACATCACCTGCATCATGATGAAGGGATTAACACACACATCCTTACAGATTCCATGAACATAAATGCCACGCGAATCAACTCCACCTGCTGTGCAGTCTGATGCAGCATCAAATAATGTGAAAAGCGATGTTGGCTGGAAAGTCTGAACATTGCAGTGTCATGTGAGTACGTAGCAGAAACATGGAAGCAGCACCCAAGCCTCAAGCTCACCTCATGGATTTCCCCAGTCTCACTTCTTCTGACACCACGAGCTGACACCTGCGCAGGCAGAATGTCATCTGTCAGCAGGCTTCCAGCCCACAATTTTAATATTACTTCTGCGCTCCCACACTCACCAGTTGCAGCTGGCTATCTTCATCGGCCAGCGAGTGATCAGAAGGTTGTTTGTTGCCTGGCTGAATGTTCTCTGAATAATCACTGCCTTGTGGAGCTGTGCTTTGCACACCAAAAATGTCCATATGGTCCAAAATTTCTTCTTCTGGAATAGTTGCCAATCTTGAAGGAGAAAGGCACGTCAGCTCACCGGACAGCTTGTAATACGCGTCACACAACAAGGGAGAAAGGGTGTTATGTGGAGTCGTCTTGGTGTCATCATTTTCGTTGGTCCCCTGATGTTGCAGAAAAATATATGACTCATTTTCGTGGTGTCCCAGGGGAAGAGAATCATTGACAGGAAGAAGAAAGAGTGGGGGCTGCAAGGATGATGAAAACGGCACTGGAACCTCCATTTGGGCTGATGGCGGGAAAGTTTGTATAAGTGAGGAGGAGAGATGATGAAAAGGAAGAGATTGAAGAGGAGGAGGAGGAGGAGGAGGAGGAGGAGGAGGAGGAGGAGGAGGAGGAGGAGGAGGAGGAGGAGGAGGAGGAGGAGAAAGAGGAGTAGAAAGAGGAGGAGTAGAAAGAGGAGGAGTAGAAAGAGGAGGAGTAGAAAGAGGAGGAGGAGGAGGAGGAGGAGGAGGAAGAGGAGTAGGAGGAGGAGGAGGAGGAGGAGGAGGAGGAGGAGGAGGAGGAGGAGGAGGAGGAGGAGGAGTAGAAAGAGGAGTAGAAAGAGGAGGAGTAGAAAGAGGAGGAGTAGAAAGAGGAGGAGTAGAAAGAGGAGGAGTAGAAAGAGGAGGAGGAGGAGGAGGAGGAGGAGGAGGAGGAGGAGGAGGAGGAGGAGGAGGAGGAGGAAGAGGAGTAGGAGGAGGAGGAGGAGGAGGAGGAGGAGGAGGAGGAGGAGGAGGAGGAGGAGGAGTACAAAGAGGGGGAGGAGGGGGGAGAGGAGGTAAAGTAGTAGGCAAAGGAGGAGGTGGAGAAGAAGGCGGAGGAGTAGGAGGAGGAGTACAAAGAGGAGGAGGAGGAGGAGGAGGAGGAGGAGGAGGAGGAGGAGGAGGAGGAGGAGGAGGAGGAGGAGGAGTACAGAGAGGGGGAGGAGGGGGGAGAGGAGGAGAAGTAGTAGGAAAAGGAGGAGGTGGAGAAATGGGCAGAGGAGGAGTAGGAGGAGGAGTACAAAGAGGAGGAGGAGGAGGAGGAGGAGGAGGAGGAGGAGGAGGAGGAGGAGGAGGAGGAGGAGGAGGAGGAGGAGAAGGAGGAGGAGGAGGAGGAGGAGGAGGAGGAGGAGGAGGAGGAGGAGGAGGAGGAGGAGGAGGAGATAAAGAATGAAGAGGGGGAGGTGGTGGGGGAGTGGATCGAGAGTGTGGCGGAAGTGATGAAGGATCTAGTGAGTCTGCGATAGTTGTTCGTTGAGTTGTATTGTCAACATGATGAAGACCATCTGCCATGAAAAGCTTGGTGAGAACAGCTGTGAAGTTGCACAAGTACAGGATGGGATATACGAATACAATGAATCAATACCTTCGCTTTGTGGTGCCTCATCTATTTCGTACTCAGCTTGGGATAAGGAAACAGAGTGACTCCCTCTATTCCCACTGTGCTCTGCTTGTCCACTTTGGTCCCTCATGTTGGCCATTTTCGTATCAAACTCGCTGCTGCGCCTCTGCAATGCCATGAGTTGAAGCAGCAACCTCTCCTCATCTGTCAGCTCACCAATTGACCATGCACTGCAGCTGCTACCTCTGGTTCTTCGGATGCTTGAACGGTCTCGTGAAGGCAAAACGATATGTCTCAACTCTGATGCAACCAGCTCTCCAGATTGACGTGTCTTGTACACATCACACGATAACATCTTTCCCAAGGGAGCAGATTGTATACCCGCCTTATGCTCAGCCTCAGCATCAGTCTCAATGGCATCAGGAATACCGGATTGATCTGCAGGATCAGATAAGGTATATTAGTGGTAGTCATTTTCACAAAAAAACAATGCGTCCTTACCATCGGCAGGCTTCCTGAGCACCCTGTCTCCAGATGGCAGACGGCCTGCATCCAGTGGAAGGCATTCCTGTTCGATCGAATTTTCTGGTTCTGCTCCCCTTGGTGTATGTGAGGTGGGTATGCTGCTCCATATGTTGGTCTCCAAAAACGAACTCTGATCGCCATAACAGGAATGAGGCGTGCGAGAAGGTGACGTCTCAGGAGAAGGCAAAGCGCTAAGGGATGGTGAAAATAGCCAGGTTGACGCCGAATCTTCCCCCATGAATGCATAGTCTTCAGCATATTCAAATAAGAAATCGTTACTATGCAGTGCTGGAGGACTGGTTGGAATGTATGAGGTATGAAGCCCCTCAGACGATGCTGTTCGTTGGTTGTCGCTGATAATCTCTGGCGTTGTTGTAGGATGATCGTTGCTGAACTTCTCCTTCAAAATGAGAAGAAAAGGACGAATCAGATTCATTATCAAGAATCGTTGCACAATACAACATAATTATCGAGTGGTCAACGTACAGGTTGGCGAATGTGCTTGATCGTTGAAACCTGGCGATTTAAATCAGGTGGTGATGACTTCGACGGCCTCTGACGTGTCATAGGAGGGCACGAAGCTGGATCAGTCGAGAAAGGTTGGATTTCTCGTAACAATGTATCCGTAGATCTTGGATCGGACGTCCTTTGATGGGACCTCGACTCATCGCCATAGATCGCGCTGGAAGTTGAAGGCTGCACTGACCTCCCCGGCAGATATTTGTAACTTCTCTGCGTGGCCTCCGCTGATGAAGCCTTTGATGCACTTGATTTCTTTTCCTCCCGAACCGGACCCTCTCGAGAAGCCGTAGGCAAATCTCGTCGAGTCAATCGGGGAATTCGCGACAGCGAAGGAATCAGGGATACACCAGGTTGTACAACCCTGGTCCGCAGGTTTTTTGGAGGCTTCGGAATGGCGGATGGTTTGGAGCCTGGTGTTGAATCGCCAGGAGACAGAGCTGGGGGATCTGGAGATGACCCTTTACGTAGACCAACAGATCGAGCACGCGGTCGTGACAACATGGAGGTTTGACCAGCCAAAATGCGTCCAGGCTCAACAACAACATCCTTATCTCGCTTCCGGTCTCGAATCGAAGGTATGGACGACTCGATTGTAATGTTGCTGGACGCTGATGCATCGTTGTTCACAGTTGTCGTCTCTTCCTGACACATAAATGAAAGGAAGAGACATAAGGCGCATGAATTTTCCACTGTATTCTGACGACTGCAACGGCGGAAGTCCGAATGCTTGCCTTTTTAGTCATGCTTAGCCTTCTGACCACTGAAGGGGACCCTCCAAATCCTCGACTCGTAGAGCTCGAAGAGCGTAGCTCTTGATTGTTGAATGGATCATATAACCTGCAGCGTTCGTGTTTAGGTTCAGTGTTTTCAAGGTCAAGTTTGAGCTTCACAGAATGATCATTACCAATCCGAAGGGGTCGTGCCTTCTTCCAGAGATATGCGTCCAAATAAATCGTCATATCGTCCGTTTTTGTGTCTGGTTTCGTCGCTGTGAATCACATTTGTTCCACTTTGGCTTGAGCCTTCTCCTCCGAGCTTCGGCGAATTCCTCCACAGCTGCATGTTGTGAAGAAGTTCCTCATCAATACTAAGGGATCTTCTTCGCGGACGCCTAGAACTGGGAGAGGAAGAGCGATGCGTTTGGTCTGCGTCGTTCGATTCAGCTGACTCAGCTTCCATGACCGAAGCCTCCATTACACAAGGAAAGTGGAGCCTACACAATGATTCCAAAACGAAGCTTGAAAATGTGGTAGACTAGGAGGAATCTCGAGATCAGCGGGCACCGGCAGGTTGACACAGCAATCGGTCGTCAATAGGCAAATTCGCGGATGCGTCAGGGTGGCGAACGCGCGACAAAGAAATAGCAGTAATGTTACGGATGCAACCGACACTTCCACAGTTCTGCTATACACTGGTGAAGATTTTACCTTAAAATATATCAAGGCAACATGGGAAGAACATGAATCCTTGAAAAAAAATACTGAGCTAGAAAATCACTAGATTAACATAAAATACACGTAAGTATTTTACACAGAATGATCACGATAATGAGTTTCAAGCATCCTCAAAATGTGATAATCGGAACACTCTTCTGCACAATTAGGTACTCTGGACTTGACTGGATATGCGGTAAGATAACAACTCACATCGGTCTATAATGTAAACCGACCAGGAAAACAAATCCGACATGCGTAGTGTCTATTGTTCTTGCAAACAGATAGCTGTTGAGTCCGTTTAAGCATTATTGACTATACTGCGTACAACACCTGGCGGCCATGCACCTCCTCGCCTTATCATCTTAGCGGGCAGCCGCAAAATCAAGGTTTGTAGTCCAGTCACCACCACCAGCACTGTGGAGATTCTCACTCCATCTCCCGCGCGGATCGCAGCGCGTCGATGCACGCTTAGCCGCTTAAAAGCGTCGCTGGCTGTGGTTCCGCCGAGTCTCCCGCGCTGTCCCGACCTGCTGCGATAGCGATCCTCGCAACCTGTCGCACCCGCCGCACCCGCCGCCGCAGCGACAGCAGCAGCAGCGATGGCCGTAGCGGCAGCGCCGACGAACCTGTTCTTGTGCAGCCGCGAGAGGCTGGCTACATCTGACGCGCACCGGACGCCTACAAGATTAACTAGACAAACAGCATTAACAGCGTCCACAATTTCGCCGTCCATAACGCTCTTTCCGCCGCATCAGCCTCTCGCTCCTGCTCCGATTCGGGTTGGCCAATCTCAAGCGCAGGTCCATGCTGCTCTCGCTCGGCGCGCTTTGCCGCGGCTCGTGAGACCGCAGCAGGTACGCAGGAGTTGGCGTGTGGCGTGCGAGGAGTCGCGGCACGTGACGGCGGACGGCAACCGCGACGCAGAGACATCCGAGGATCGCGCGTTCCGTGCGTCAGGCGCTCCCTGTCGATCTCGTTTTGCCGCTGCGCACGGCCCCGCGGGAGGGTTACAGACGGTCGCGAGCTCTCGAGGCGTGTTTAGCGAGGATGGACATGGGGTTGCGTCATCGAAGCGGCGAGTGCAGGGGCCGTGGAGGCAGCACTCCTCTTTCTGGCTGCGATCCGTTGATCATAACGCTCTTCACTCTCTCCCGCTCCGCTCGTCCGCGCCCTCCTCCGCCTTCTCGCCCTCTTTCCGTGCCTACTCATCGCATTGGCGGGCCTCCGCGGCTCCGGCAGGCTCGGCAGGCTCCGTCTCGTTAGAAGCTGACGCGTTACTGGGCACGGGTCCGGCGCAAGAGGCCGCTCTGGCGGACAAAGCGATTGCGCGAGCTGATGCAGCAGCGGCGGCGGCGGCGGCGGGTGGAGCTGCTGGCGCTGGCGCGTTGACTGTAACGGGGGTTGGTCGAGGCAACGGACGTAGAGAAACGAACCCTAATAATAATCATCATACTTCCCGTCCTGGCCCAACCTCCAGTGACTCTCATCAACAGCTTGCACTCCTACAGTCTAGGACGGTTCACAAGACTTCAGCAGCTGCTACCTCGTCTACAGCGGCCAAATCGTCTACAATCGCGCTCCCCCTCCGCCGCCGCCCGTTTCTGTTCCCCCTCCGCCTCCTCCGCGTGCGCTTCCGCCTCGCGCGCCGCGCCCTGCGCGCTCTCACCTTGCGCCAGGCCCTGGGCGTGCTGCTCGCGGTCTCCTATTGGCTGCGCTGGCCGCTGATCGCGCTGGCGCTGGTGCTGGGTGCCACGTGGCAGATGAGGAATCCAGGAGTGCGGGCGGCAAGGCCCGTCGCGTATTCTGACATGGTGGCAGCAGTGAAAGCGGGGAGAGTTAAGAACGCGGCTATGGAGGAGAGCTCGAATCGCATCTGGTTCAACGTGCATAGTAGGAGCGCTGCGGACGTGGCGTCTGCTGCTGACGTGGCCTCGGCCTCAGCTGCTGCTGGTCCTGCTGGTGCTGATGCATCTGCCGCTGGTGTCACCGCTACATCTGCCATGGGATCTGATCGGCTCGCTGACAAGCTAGAAGCAGCAACAGTACCAGTACCAGCTGCAGCAGCAGCACCAGCAGAAAATGGAAGCCAAATCAGTCTTACAAACGCACCTCTTGCTGCTGACGCTGCCACTGCTGCCACTCCTGTCCTTGCTCCCCCTCCTGCTCTCACCTCCCCGCCGTCTCTCCTCCTGCCCTCCCCCACGCACGCCTCCTGGCGCTCCTTCCTCGTCTCCCTCGGCCCGCCTTGGTCCTCCCTCGTGCGCCTCCCAGCAGACCCCCCTTTCGCCTATGTCTCCCGTCGAGTTCACAATGACGAGTCATTCCTCCTCCCCCTCCTCATCACCCACAACGTGCGTGTCGCCTCCGTGCCCGTCCCAGCCTCCCAAACCCTCCGCACCGTTTTCTTAACCGCTCTCACCGTTTGGATACCCGTTGCACCGCTGATTTACCTCATGATGAAGCAGCTGAATGGGGGGAAGGATGGTGGGTGGCGCCGGGGGGGAGGGGGGCGGGGGCCGGGCGGGGGGAAGGGCGGAAGTAAAGGGGGAAAGAGAGGAGCAGGAGGAGGGAGGGGGGCGGCAGGAGAGGTGAGATTCGAAGATGTAGCTGGGGTGGACGAGGCGAAGCGAGAGCTCATGGAGCTAGTTCAGGGGATTAAAGGAGCCGGCGCGTTTGCTGCTATGGGCGCACATATCCCCAAGGGCGTTCTCCTCATTGGTCCCCCTGGCACGGGTAAAACGCTGCTGGCTCGTGTGGTGGCAGCAGAGGCGGACGTGCCGTTTTTCGCTGCGTCTGCGAGTGAGTTTGTGGAGATGTTTGTTGGGAGAGGCGCGGCCCGCGTGCGTGAGCTGTTCCGAGAGGCGAGGAAGGCCGCCCCGGCGATCGTTTTCATCGATGAGATTGACGCGGTGGGGGCGCGGCGTGGCGCGAGCAGCAACGACGAGCGGGACCAGACTCTGAACCAGCTGTTGACGGAGCTCGATGGGTTTGACTCGCCCGATGATGGGGTGCTGCTGCTGGCTGCGACTAACCGGCTTGATACGCTTGACCCGGCGCTGACTCGCTCGGGGAGGATTTCGAGAAGGGTGATGGTGCCTCTGCCTGATGTGGATGGGCGGAGGGATATTCTGAGAGTGCACATGCGCAGGATGCAGGAGCGGATGAAGGGGAGAAGGAGTGGTGTGGGGGAGGGGCGAGTGGGGGAAAGCGTGGGAGGGAGTGTGATGGGAGGAAGAGGCGGAATTGGGAGAGTGGGAAGTGTGTGGGATGTGCTGGGGGAGGAGGAAGAGGAGGAGGGGATGAGGACAGTGGTTGCGAGGTATTCAGAGGGGTTCTCAGGGGCGGACCTGGAGAACGTGGTGAATGAGGCGGCGTGGCTCGCTGCCCGGAGTGGTGAGCGCTGCATGGATGGACATGTGTTGTCTTTATAAAATCTCCTTTCGACTTCCCCCCTCCCCCACCCACTTCTAACTTCTGTCTGTCTGCCTGTCTACTCACACTTACCATGCTTCCACATCCACCTACCTGTCTCGTCTGCATGTTTGCTTACTTGCTTGCTTGTTTGTTTTGCTCCTGCTTTTTTCCCCACACCCTCCTGCTTGCCGCATTGCGTGCAGGCGAGGCACGGGTGAGTCTGGACCATTTCCTTGACGCGGTAGAGCGCACTCGCTATGGCATCGGCATCACCAGCACCACCACTGGTCTTCGCATCAAGCCCCGTGCCCGTGGCAGCAGCAGCAGCAGCCCCCTGCTTGGGTTTCTATCCCGTGCCCTTGGACCGTTGGCACAGCAGCAGGAGAAGGATGTGCTTGCGCGTGCCATCTCACCCGGGATCTGAATCTTAGAATAATGAATTATCGAATGAGCTACCTACCTACGAATTGCTATCCAGGCTCCCTGAGCTGCCTTGAGCCTGGTAGCCCGGTTGAGATGGGTTTAGAGCATGTCCCTACGGACTCTTATCAGGCCAACCTCTTATCAAGCTCGCGTCAAAACACACTGAAAATTCCCTAAACCCAAAAACCCTCGCTACTTTTACCAGGCAAGGCTGACAAGAGTTTTGCCTGATACCTTCAGCCCCCGGATAGAAGCGCCCCTGCGGATATAAATAAACACTGTTTTTTAGGGGGTGGGCTTATAATTGAGGATTTTTAGAAGCGCCGGGGCTTATATAATGACATATATGAAATCTAGTTTTATTTACACCAATGTGTTCATCTCGTCCTTGCGATTTGAATCGAATTGATATTGTAGAGGGCAATGAATGTGAATTTCGTGTAAATTGGAACATGTCATTAGTCACTGCC